GGGCGGGGCCTTCCGGGTCGGTGTACTGGTGAACTCTGAAGAGGTGCGCTCCTGGGAGAGCCGGTCGGATGGCGAGTTTCCAGATCTCGTCTCGGAGTTCCCGCGGGAGAAGGGGGAAGAAATGAAACTCTGTTGCCATTTTGGTTCAATGGTGTGTTCCGCAGTGGGAGGGAAGAGCTGAGATAGAGAATCCAGTTTATATACTCCGTATAGGATAGTCCGATGACTCCTATCTGCATGCAGGATGCAAAGCTATGGCCATCATCACGTTGAACTTTGCCGGCTCCCCTTGACGCAGGAGCGCAAGAGACGGGGCACATCTTTGTTGTGTCGAGACCTCTCTGGAGGGTCAAGACGCCGCCGGACTTCAACACCTCGACTCAATTTCGAAGGTTGAATGAGATCTTTGTTGTGTCGAGACCTCTCTGGGGGGTCAAGTCGCCCCAGCTCATTCAACCTTCGAAATCGAGTCGCAGCACGAGCGGTCGACTGCAAGGGGGCCAGAAGCACCATCCAACTTTGATCCTTCCAGCCCACCTTTATCTTTGTGGACCACTTGAAGTCAGAACAGGAAGTCGTCGTCAGTGGAGACCCGGCCATCGTTTTCTTGGCGAGAGGACTGTCCCCACTCCTGGGGGGCCAAGTGGGGCCAGACCAGCTGCCGGCTTGGCACTTGCCGGCTGAGCAGCCTCGCACCCAAGGGCCAAAAACATGGCAAACACCATCTCGGAGCTTCCGTCTTTTGCCAACACACCCCACCAGCGAACATGAGCCGACGCGACTTTCTCAGCCAGCCGGCCCCCGAAAACTACGTGGCCGGCCTCGGCCGTGGAGCTACAGGCTTCACAACACGATCAGACCTCGGGCCGGCCCGCGAAGGACCAACAGAAGACCAGATCAAGGCCGAAGTCGCCAAAAGGAAGGCCCAGCTTGGAGGCGCCGAGGGCAACGACGACGAGGGCGGAAATGACGATGCCGCGCGGTACCAGGATCCCGACAACGAAGTCGGTCTGTTTGCCGGTGGAATCTATGAAAAGGACGACGAAGAGGCGGATCGAATATGGAAAGAAGTCGACGACAAGATAGCCAAGCGCAGGCAGAAGCAAAGGTTCGTTCTCTCCCCTCTCCTGTCCCCCCACACCACCGCCGTGTTTATCATTGTCACCGCTAGATGACCAGCGATACCGACACAAATACCAACCTATTCTGCGTAACAGGGAAGCCCGCGAGAAAGCCGACCAAGACGAGTACGAGCGAAAGAACCCAAAGATCCAGCAGCAGTTCGCCGGCCTCAAGCGCGCCCTCGAATCCGTAACCGACGAGGAGTGGGCCAACCTGCCCGACCCCAAGGACCTGACGGGCCGCACCAAGCGCGCCCGCCAGGCCCGCATGGAGCGATTCTACGCCGTCCCCGACAGCGTGCTGGCCGCCGCCCGCGACACGGGCCAGTTCGGCACCACCGTCGCCGACGACGGCACGGCCACTGCCGACGGCGGAAACAAGGACGGCACAGTCACCGACTTTGCCAAGATCGGCGCCGCCCGCGACAAGGTGCTGCGTGCGCGCCTCGAGCAGGAATCGCAGAGCGGCGGCAGCTCCATCGTTACGGCCGGGAGCGCCACGAGCGTCGACCCAAAGGGCTACCTGACCTCGCTAGCGAGCACCCAGGGTGCCGAGCAGAGCATCGGCGACATTGAGCAGTTCAGAAAGATGCTCAAGTCGGCTGTCGACTCGAATCCCAAGCAGGGCTCCAGCTGGATTGCTGCCGCGCGTCTGGAGATTGCCGCGGGGAAGCCGGGTGCTGCACGGTCGCTGATTGCCAAGGGGTGCCAGCACTGCCCAAAAAGCGAGGATATCTGGTTGGAAAGCATACATCTCAACGACAACCGCAACGCCAAGGTCATTGCCGCCCAGGCCATCATGGCCAACCCCAACTCGGTGAAGCTCTGGGTCGAGGCCATGAAGCTCGAGAACGACCCGCGGTCGCGGAAAAAGGTCATCCGGAGGGCTCTCGATCACAACCAAAAGTCGGAGGCGTTATGGAAGGAGGCTGTTAACCTGGAGGAGGACGTCGAAGACGCGCGGGTACTACTCGCCAAGGCCACCGAGCTGATTCCCGAGTCTCTGGACCTGTGGCTGGCGCTGGCGCGGTTGGAAACACCAGCAAACGCCCGCAAGGTTCTCAACAAGGCCGTCAAGAAGCTCCCCAACTCGCACGAGCTGTGGATTGCCGCCGCCCGCCTCGAAGAGCAGCTCGGCGAGGGGACAAAGAGGCCGGTCATGAAGAACGCAGTCAAGTTCCTCGCCAAGCAAAACGCCATGCCCAAGCGAGAAGAGTGGATTGCAGAAGCCGAAAAGTGCGAGGAAGAGGGCGCCGTCATCACATGCAGCAACATCATCGAGGAGACACTGGGCTGGGGCCTGGACGAGGATGACGATCGCAAGGAGATGTGGATGGAGGACGCCAAGGCGAGCATCAGCCGCGGCAAATTCGCCACAGCCCGCGCCATCTACGCCTACGCCTTGCGCGTCTTCCCCAACAGCAAGAGCCTCTACCTCGCCGCCGTGGACCTGGAACGAAACCACGGCACCAAGGACGACCTGTGGCGGGCGCTGGAGAAGGCCGTCGAGGCGTGCCCGCACATTGAGACGTTCTGGCTCATGCTGGCCAAGGAGAAGTCGGGCGAGATCAACGAGGCCCGTCTCGTTCTCGCACGGGCTTTCAAGCAGAACCCCGACAACGAGGACATCTGGCTGTCGGCCGTCAAGCTCGAGGCCGACAGCGGCTTCAACGACCAAGCCCGCGAGCTCCTCCGGACGGCACGGTCCAACGCGCCCACCGACCGCGCGTGGATGCGCAGCGTCGCCTTTGAGCGGCAGCTCGGCGACAACGAGGCCGCGCTGGACCTCGTGCGCGACGCGCTCCTCCTCTTCCCCTCGGCGCCCAAGCTCTGGATGATGAAGGGGCAGATCTACGAAGCGCTCGGCAAGCCCGCCGAGGCGCGCGAGGCCTACGCCACGGGCGTGCGCTGCGTGCCCTCGTCGGTGCCCATGTGGCTGCTCTACTCGCGGCTCGAGGAGCGGTCGGGCAACGTGGTCAAGGCGCGCAGCGTGCTGGACCGCGCGCGGCAGGCGGTGCCCAAGTGCCCGGAGCTGTGGTGCGAGCTCATCCGCGTCGAGCGGCGCGCCGGCAACCTCGGGCAGGCCAAGTCGCTCATGGCGCAGGCGCTGCAGCAGATGCCCAAGTCGGGCGCGCTGTGGGCCGAGCGCATCCTGCACCTCGAGGCGCGCACGCAGCGCAAGACGCTGCTGGCCGAGGCGATGAAGAAGGTGGACAGCGACGCGACGCTGCTCGTGACGGCGGCGCGGATCCTGTGGGCCGAGCGCAAGCTCGACCGCGCCGACACGTGGTTCGAGAAGGCGCTGCTGATGGATCCGGACCTGGGCGATACGTGGGCGTGGTACTGGCGGTTCTTGCAGCAGCACGGGACCGAGGAGAAGAGGCAGAAGCTGGTGGAAAAGTGCGTGCTGAATGACCCGCGGCACGGGGAGCACTGGCAGGCGGTGGCCAAGGACCCGAAGAATGCGGGCAAGGGGACAGAGGAGATTCTGAAGATGGTGGCGGCGGGGTTGGGGCAGTGAGGTAATTTATAGGGTTGGTGGTTGGTAGTAGGTTGGTAGTATATGGGGGCGTCGGCTTGGGATGAATTTGATATCCTATCGATACCATCGAAGTGAAGGGAAGCTTGGTTATGTATTGTTTGGTTCATAAGTTCCATTCAAGCAAAGGAGCATGGATGGACTTTAACATCTCGACTCGATTTCGAAGGTTGAATGACACCTCTCTGTTGTGTCGAGACCTCTCTCCTCTCTGGGGGGTCAAGACCTCCATCGGCCGCAGTTGCGTCAAGTCAAAAACATCGGGCACTCACCCTTTCACCGTGAGAGATAACCATACTTGGACCCGCAAAAAAACAGAAATTGTACACATACAATGTATGTATTGTTGATGAGTTTGCGTCAGCCGCGAATCGAACGCGGGGCCCATCGAGGATTGCACACATGGCAACGATGGATTTTACCACTAAACCACTGACGCTTGGCTCCATGAGGAGCTGTTGTTGTGAGATGGGGAGGTATTATGCTATTTCTGCGGGAGTATGACTCGCTTTCCTGTCGGGATCTGCCCATGGAGCTGTCAACGGTTGTGTTCCCGGGATGGGGCCAGGGGAAACTGACATGGACTGGTGGTGTTGTGGATTGGTATTCTTGAGAATCAGGTGGTGTCAGTAAAAAACCAAACACTCGTACCTACAATCAAATACTGTTTTGTTTAGTAGCGCGAGACCTCTCGTCAAGAAAGCGAGGGCCGGTTCTCCCCTGACAAGGTCGAGTTGACACAATCATAGGCCTCCAGTTCTGATTCTAGCTAGGGACTCTTTAACCGTTCGGGTAGCCTTGGCTGGTATACTCGATGTCTGCGTTAATAACCGAAAGGGCTGTAGTGTACTTGCTTAAGTGTTCGGTTCTTTTCTGACACCACCTGGGAATGAAATGGAAGAGAGAGCAGTTGGGGTTTCTTGTTTGGTATCTGGTGCCGGAGCTGCTGGAGGGATTGATGTCGTCGATTGAGACTGGGGCGAGCGAAGCTGGTACTTGGGAACTGGAGACAGGTTTACGATTTTCTGTTAAAGGGCTTTCTCGAACATGCTTGAAGATGGCCTGGCCATCGTCGTGTTGAACCGCGTTGGTTGTCTGGAGCTGAAGCATCGAGATGGACGGGTCAAACTCGAGTTTTCGAAGAAGCTAGACTCGACTTTTGACAAACAGCCCGGGGGAGAGAATCAGAACTGGACGGATTCAACGGCAAGATCCTCAGAAGGTGCTGCAAACCACCTCGATGCCACAAGCCGGGTTTGTTTTCAATCCCAAAACGTCGTCCTGCCCCTGTCTCTCCTTGTACAGCTGTACCGACCAGATCCCCATCAATAATTCCACAAGCGTCAGTGGTTTAGTGGTAAAATCCATCGTTGCCATGTGCAACATTCGATGGGCCCCGCGTTCGATTCGCGGCTGACGCATTACACATTCTCTACCTGTCATTGAGAATAGAACCCTTCTTTTTGCCCCTTCAAAATACTCATTGAGTGCAAGCCTCCGTCCAACTCCTTCTGCGGCCTCGCGAAGTTGAGGCACACGCAATTGGGTGATGAGGGACCGATGAGGGACTTCGGTCCTCTTTCCTAGACTTCCCGAGGATCGAATGAACTGTGGCGAGGCACCTCTCAGATGCCATTCGGGTTGGAGTGACGACATGCCGATGACCTGAAGTCATGTCCACGGTTCCAACGTCATAGATGCATGCTTACTGCCGCATGCTGCGAGGACCTCGAGACATCGACATCCGTCCCATTGCGGCGTATCGAGTATATGTCGCCCGAACTACACATCCCAGAACCTGAACAACAGGCGTCCGAACAGGCGTCCGTTCCCATCCGACACCCTAGGCCCAGCAAACAACACCCTCTCTGGGCTGAGGCATGCTTCTGCAGTCATCAGCACCGGAGAAGAGGCAATCACGAAAGTCCGAGCGCGTGGTGTGTCCTCTCCTAACCGGACCCCCTAGACCTAGCAAAACAAACTCCCGCTTTCGGCTAGGGGGTGGTCGTTTCGGGTTACACATCCCAACACAACCCCGCCACGCGGCAGGGCACTGCAGAGGTTCGACGTGCCAGACAGGTCGTCGTTGAGCTGACGTCGGCGGCTCTGCCTGGCCTGTTCGTTCACGTCAGCAGTATACATACGTACGCGTGCTTCTGTCACGCATGGAAATGCCACAATGTCCTTTGCCGTCAGTTCGGACCGAGGGTCGAGGTCAATGTCGGAAGGGCTTGTTGGATGGATATTGACATATATGTATCTACCTAGGCGCCGAAGCTCGGAGGAGACCGGCCGCTTTTCTGATATAAAGCCATTGTGCAATCGTCGAAAATGAGAGAAACATTCGAGGGAAAGGTCATGCAATCAACCCGCTATTGGCGAATGTCAAAGCCGTTCTGTCTGATCGCCCGTCCTCGGCTCTTCCCCCTGGACCGGGCTGCTGGGGAAAAAGGGCATCGAAACGTCCTATGTGCGGTCAGGTTATTTCTGGCATCAGGAGCGTTTGGCAGGCAACCGGCTGCGGTGGTCCAGATGTGAAGTTGCCCCCAGAGAGGTTCGGCCGCCATTCTGACGTGAGCTCGCTGTCGCTACAGCTTCCCCAGGCCTGTGAGGTGAGGCTTCGCTCTCAGCCTCAGCTGTGTCCCAACAGACCAATTCCACAGATCTGGTTTCTGGAATACTGTCTAGTCCGCCGAGGTGGGATATCATAATTACTCTTCTTCAGTGTCGCAGTGATTGGTAATGACATGTCCCCCACCGCCACCGCCTGTGTCGTTGCGTTGCTCCCCCCACTGCCTTCGTTGCTGCCGGGGAGTCGGCCGGGCCCCCTGGCGAGCCATCTCGTCATCGACCAATCGAACGGGAATGATTTCATGCCCGTCTAAAAAAGCGCGGCTGGGATGTTGCCCCAGATTCCAGCCGGGCCGCAGAGACTTTGTCCATCGCTGCCGGGTTCTTCTGGCTGCCGAAGCGCACAAATTTTCACCTTTGGGCCATTATCATTTCGTTCTCCTCCAGGGACGAGAAACAAACCGTTGGCGAAACAGAATAAACCCCCCGGGCCGGTTGGGCGCCAGGTTCTTCTGCAGCAGGCGGCAGAACTCGAACGACATTTTGATGGCTTTCTCCCACCACGGCTTTCCCATTGGCTGGAACGTCCATCAGTGATCGGTGGAGCCCCGTGGAATGACCACAGCTCCTAGCCGCTCGGACCAGCTGCCGTCTCTTTTCGTGCAGCAATTTTTCATGCAAGTGCGTCATAGGGGGTTGCGACAACAAAAAGGGGGGGCGAGGGGGGAGTCGAGCTCAACACCCGCAATGCGCCGACCAGAATGGAAGATGAACCCGTGACCGAGACCTGCTGCACTTTTGGATTTCCCATCCCTGAAGAACAACGAGAAATGCATCGGAGGAGAGACCGGACGGAAACGGGATACGGCTGGTCGAGAGAGCGCAGAGTTGGGACAGCGGCTGGTCGCGAAGGAACCTGTCGTCACAGTGCGAACAAGGCGGTGGCCGCATTGGCTCCTGAGACATCCATTCCATCATCGCTCCGATCCCCACGGTTACGTCATCGTTATAGGAAAAAAGGGAAAAGAGTCGGACAATGCCAGCGCCACCCTGGCGGTTGAGTCGCATCCCCCTTTGATTCTGGAAGCCGAGTGCGTCCGTACGGCGTACAAGACGCGGTCGTCGAGGCAGAGGAGACCGATCCAACCCTCGGGTGAATCCTTTTGGTGATCGGGCGCGGCTGTCGACCGAGGCTGGCAGGTCGCGCTGGGTTCTTCCTGGCGGCGAGGAGCATCCGGGCATCAGTCGCGGTCGGCGCGAAGACGGTGCCCAAGAAGTGGGCGAGGTTTGCTTCTTGAGCTTGCAGTGGTGCCGGGGAAGGATCAGAATTGTCAGATTGCAACCGTCCCGAACGGGTTCTAGTGCCCTGACGCAATCTGCTCGCTAGGCCGGCAGCCCAACCGCGAGCGAGGGGGCACGGGAAAAGACGCGACACGCCCGCTGATTCGACCGCTGCCGGCAGAGATTGCCACAGCAGCCCCACACCTGAAATGTTCCGTTCTCAGTGGTCCCATTGTCCCATCGCGTTTCCAGAGCGGTGAAGTGAACGGGACGAGTTCACTGGAGCAACCACTTGAGCCGACTGTCGGTTGCCGTACACAGTACATACAGTCTGTCTGATCGGGTCGAGACCAGTGGCTGCAGACGACCAACACACCACTCTGGTGCCGGTTCGCCGCGAGTGTCTTTTCGCGGCGGCACTCCTCGACGAACGATGGAGGTGACATGGACGGCTGTTCCACAGTGGCTGCTGGCAGCGTGGTTGACACTCTTCGCGGAGGTCGGAGTCCCTTCCGGAAAGGTTCGAGGTTCTAGATCCGGACATGGGTGGAATCGGGTTTCTGGATCGCTTTTAGTTGAGATGCCGACAGGAAACCTGGCGGAAGCCGTTACCGTGGCCGGTGGCCGACCTGGTATCGATCAAGTCTGTCCGACAGCGAGCCGCGGCGAACACAGCATCAAGCGGGCTACGCTGTGCCATCTGGTCGGCACACCGACGGTCTGCATCTCGAAAGATATCAGCACTGCTCTTGCATTCTCAGGTCGAATCCGGCAAGAAGAGGGTGTCCTTGGCGAGCCCCGAGGACCTCGAGAACCCAAGACAACGCGGGGGACGCAGGGGGTGCTGGGTGGTGTCGTGGGTGTTTAGCCCGTTGCGTGCTCAAGATCCATTTCGATGCAGAGCCAAGGGTGACAGAGTCGAGACTTGTGGGCACCGTGCACTTGTGGGCACCGTGCGTGGACAGTGGTAAGGACGTGGATCCTCGGGGCCTGCACTTCAACGGTGTGGTGGGTGAGGCCCTGCACGAGCAGAGAGGGGGCTGTCCGGATAGAAAGGGCAGATGTTGAAGGTCTTGCGCAGGGCTGGCGGCGACCCATTCCTTCTCGAAGTCGCCAGGATTCGTGAACTCGACCTCGGATTCCTGCAGGGCCAACTCCAGCGCAGCGCTCGACATTGGCTTGCCAGATTGGAGGAGAATTTCCTGCTTGGTAATGTTCGTTCCGTACAGCTGCTGGTCGGCCCGCCCTCGGTCCAGTGCCAAAAGTCTGGCCAGAAGAATGGGAGCGAGAGTCCGATGTCGAGACAATTCGGCGATCGTGACGGAGAGGAGAGGGGGGAGAGGAGGGATCTACGTGAGGTCTAGACTGCCCAAGCATGGAATAGTTGGGCGGCCAAGAGGCAAGAGGCAAGTCTGGAGGGAGCAGACTCGCAAGATAACTACGCGGGGAGTACAGGCCAGCGCATGGAAAGAAGCTCTACTGCGTAGCGTTTGCTAATGAAAGGGCAGGCGAGGAGAAAATGTAAGGTCGGGTGGGTTGGTCGAGTGGAGTGGGCCATGGTGCGGTGCGCTTGGGGTTCTGTTGGAATTGGCTGGCTGCGCTGCGCTGCCCGCTGCTGCAGCGAATGCTCGGGGGGGACGACCCAGTATTTTATTAACCCACTTGCGCCATCTCTTTTCCGGGGCTTCTCCCAACGTCATACCTGACGTCTTCCCGCTCCTGATTCTCCCTTCTCCCACACCTGCACCCGCATCACGCTCTACCGCGAAACGACGTAAGGAATCGTCAACCCCAACTTCGAACAAGCGCGCCGAAGGCGGACCCAAGCTGCAAGCGCACGAAAGTGCTGCCTTCTCAGTTGATGGTGTTGGCTGGTTGTGACCTCATAACTCGTCGCCATTCCCCTTTTTCTGTCCGTCAGTCGCTCGCGGCCGCTGCACAAGAGAGCCACCGCCGCAAGATTTTCCATTGACATCATGGGGTCGTCCACTGGAGTCGCTGACGCCGGCGGCGACTCAACCTCGCCCAAGCAATCACGCATCCCCTCCCCACACCGTCCAGGTAAGCAAACCCGTCGTCGATATTTTCAATCCAGTTGTCCCTTGCGCTGCGGCGGGCAGTAGCAGTGGTGTTGTTATGGTTGTGTCGTCGCCAACACGTCTTGTGTGTCTACAGAAGTCAAGCCCGAGTCCAAGCACGACGCGCCCAAGCACGACGCCGCGCCGGCGACGACGACCGCTACGACGTCCGCGCTGTCCAACTCGGAAGCCACCAAGCAAACCACCAAGCCGCTCGCACCGCCGCCCCGGCCAGTGCAGCCGCAGCCCTCGGGCAACACCCCCGATCTCTTCGCCTTCTCGGTCGGCGGCCACCTCAACCTCGAGCCCAATCCCTTTGAGCAATCGTTCAGCGGTGCACCCGAGACACCAGGCGGCACCAAGCTCCCTCCCGTCGCCTCCATCACCTCCCCGTCGTCCCTGCTCCCCGGCGGCGGGACCACGCCCTTCCCCTGGGGCAGCAACTCGCTGCGGACGGGACCCTTGAGCCCTGCTATGCTCTCGGGGCCAAC